AGGGAAACAGAGCACACAGGCCTATTTATGTTGTTTTCAGAAGTGATCTTATTACAGATGAAGATGAGGCATAATAACCTGTTTGTATGCCTTGCTGTGACTCTAGTTTTTAGTTAAGATAGATAGGTGCATAGATAGGTAAGTTTCCTGCTTAATAGATAGATAAGGTCACCAGCTACATTCCCAACAAAAGACTGTCTGGGTATGCTGCACTTTTTGAACACATTCGCTAAACTTTTTCCTCTCACTAGTTAAAACTTTGCATGAGATTCATGCTATTGCTAGCTTTTGTTTTTCAAAAGGATCTGCTTTCACTTCATCTTCTTTGCAGATCTGGACAGCTCTGGTTGGGCAAAAGGTTATACCCCTAGTGACTTTGAGCTGTTGTGTCTGGATGGAACGCGTGCTGCAGTTACGGAATGGGCAGGGTGTAACCTTGGCCCCATTCCCCCCAGCACAGTCATGACTCGACCAGTCACTATCACCAAAATCTATGACTTCCTAGTGAAATCCCAGGTAAGGCAAATGATGGGGTAAAAGCTAGCATGTTATCACTTGTTATGTACAACTTCAGAAAACCCTTTTAAGATCAAAAGCTTTATATACTAAATACAAAAAGTACCTTCAGGTCCAATATTAAAGAAATAATGTGTGTAAGAGATTGAGAAGGTAATTATTTGGGGTCTCTAAAGGTGAATTTTGGCCCCAGCTGCTGCTCTGAAGTGATCATGCTTTTACTGAGAAATAAGACTCAGATGCCAAACTTGAAAGAATCTTTTTGTGTAAATAAGGGCAGTGCTAGATGAAAGCAGTACCTTTTTTTTTTTCTGCTAGATCCTGCTACAATAGTGAGGGTTCACCCATTTAACCTTGCTATTTATATTCCAAGCTGTGAAACTTCCTCAATTTTCTTTTCTGTTTAGGAATCTGTGGGAACCAAGCCGGACTCCGAATTCCATCTATTTCAGTCTCAGAAGTATGGTGAAAGTGATCTGCTTTTCAAAGATGCTACTCAGTACCTTGTTCATGCAAGTCATAGGAGCTATCAGGAACTCCTTGGAGCGTCTTTCTTTCATCTGGCAGAATCAGTGTTTAAATGTACACCTGCAGGTAAAGTCAAGTTCTTCATTTTGAGTTAGAGAAAAATGCAAAGCAGGAAGCCTTCTATGCACAGCTTATTGGCCCTTCATTTAGACTGAATGGAGAAGTATCTTCTGCAGAATCCTGTTAGTAACTATTTTCTAAGCAGTACAGCGTTTGGAGTTCCTACAGAGCCTCTTGCAATTTCTATCCATAAGCACTGATATTAGAGCATTCCAGGGACAGAATAATAGATTAATGTTAAAGCAAATAAGAGTTAATTGGAGTAACAATAGTTAACTAACTGTTTTATTCCCACTCTGAAATTTGTTCCTTCAATTCCAAAGATGAATTCTAAAGTTTATTTGGGTATACCAATCTTGGGAAAAAGATAAGCAATTTTATATTTAATTCTTGAATTAACTTATTTCAAGGTTAATTTCCTCTTTAAAAAGAGGACATCAAAGAACTCGAGATCAAAATCTTTATAAACTTAAGAGGTTATTTGTTATTCTCCACTGAAAGCTGTATCGAGTATGCATTTACCTATCACTAAAACTGCCTATGTAAAAAGAGCCAGGGTCAAGTTGTTTTGACATCTGAAAATCTATACTGAAGTAAATGAAGATTACAAAGTAAGTTAGATGTCCAAGGAGTTCTATGAGTCAGTCTTGAAGTTGTTAAAGAACTGAAACTCAATTGGGGAATTTTACCTCTGTTCTGCTTTAGTGAAAAATATTGGAATAGTTTGAATAGTAATTAATATCCAAAAAGTTTGTCATTGTTAAAGCTGACAGCACTATATGCTTTCTTACTGATTTGTAGGTATCTTAGACTTTTGCAGACAGGATATCTGTGCATCCTCATTGAACTGACAGCTATACAGAGGCTTTACAAGGCACATACACCATTACTGATGCTGAAAACAAGGAAAGATGAAAGTCCGACCTATCCAGAGCACTCAGCGAGGAAATAGTCACCTCTAGAAATTTATGCTGAATACTCTTATCTTCTTTCTCATACATACATATATATCTATATCTATAAAGGCAATTTTCATGTTTATGGTCATATAATAAGGCTCTTGTCATCACTGTCTTGTTTGGCCTGTGCCGCTCCCCGCAATGCCAGGCTCCAATCTGCATAACCCACGCATGGAAGTAGGATCAACTATTCTGAACAGCTACTGAGATCTCAGCATTTCTGTGGGACAAGCAGGGCAAATGCTGTGGACTAAAATGTGGACTACCATGAGTCGCACAGGTTAGTGGATAGCAATTTTCCTTGCTTTCCTATTAGGTCTTATAAAAACAAATCGCTGTCACTTTGGTTGCTGTAGCATTATCCTTTTATATATGTGATTTTTGTTGCAGCTAGATAGTCCATGCTGAATACAAACGTATACTATAGGTTGCCTATGTAATTGCTATCAGTATCAATAGCCTTGTCTGCTTTTATCTGGGAATAACGTAGTTGCTTTGTTTAACCAAGAATTTATACTAGTAAGTCAATGCATTTTTCTTTCACAAATTCATGTATTAAGGCATCTAATAGCATCAGTCCAGCAGAACTGGATTCTTACAACCTTAAGGCGAAGGATAGCAATAGATATTCCTGTGTGTCGAAAACATCAGCTGTTACTTTATAGGATAATTCATATTTTGACACTTTAGAAGTATCAGTTAAACTGAACATTCTCTTTATAGGTGGGAACTGCTTGAACATGACAGGAAGCCTTTGGCACAAAGTGTATCATGTATTTGTTTTGCCTGAACTTTAAGTTGGAAACATTATACAGAGCTAGTGGATGTAGAATTAGAGCGGGTGCTACTCACGGGCAGGGCTCATTTCCATTTTCAACCTTCTGCTCCTACGCTTGCCTGAACTACACAAGATATAAATATATTTTTAATCAAAAAGTCCTTTACCCAGAACCCTCCAACCGTTGCTACCTCTACTGCAGTTGTATTCATCTTAGGTAGCAATGAATAAGATGCAAGTAGTGAAGATAGGCCAGCTGCACTGCACAAAAAGCAAATAGAAATTGTAGGAGCCATGTTATCTGCCATATAACACAAGGAAAAAAAAAATCAAAGTTTTGTAGGCAGCAATAATCAAAAATATTGGGTTGCAATATGCTGTTGCAGCCCGCAAACTGTAGCCTTGAAGCAGTTGGGGAACAGCAGGGTGCTAGCTTAGGCCTTTGAGGTGCTCCCTCCCTTTCTTTATTGGAGCTTACACGCCATCTGTGGGACCCATGTAACACCACACTTCAATCAAAGAGGCTTATGAGATCAGAGTGAGAAAGTTCATATGCCAACTTCATTTTCCTGAGAGCAGCATGCAGCTGAATATGCTGTACATTGAAAAGCTAGGTTATATGTAAGATTTTAGAGGTTAAAGGGATTGCTTTCTAGCATGGACATTACAGAAGCTTGAAAAGCTTACAACTCTTTTTGATGTTCCTGTGCTTCAGTTTTGGTTTAAAAGCATCAGTTTGATGGCTTACACAGACTTGTAGTACATGAATCACTGGCCTGCTTCAGCTGTGCATCTCTTGGTGCTGAACTCAGCAGGAGTTATGCTGTCTGAATGCTACTACCCTCCTACCTTAAGAGATAAATGCTGTCTCAACACTATGAGCAGCAGTTAGAATTATGCTTAAAATCCCCCAGGGTCTGTTTCTTCTTCTACGACTATAAGGCTAAAGACAAATCACAGCTGCATGATTCACCAACAGCCCACCCCATTAGTTAATGGTGTCAATGGACCTCTTCACAGATTTGATCCCTCCCCCCAATTAGTGAGACAGACATACCATTCGTAGTTTCTGATACAGACCTAAAGGCTTTAGAAAAACTAACATTTTCTCAGAAAAATTTATTTCCATAAATTAAAAACACACACAAAAGAAACAGTGAAACTTTAGATTCACACTACTGAACAGAAATCAAATGCCAAGAGCATGATGGAGGCTAACGGCACAGGTGTACAAATTCCCACTGAGCTATTGGTTAACATGATAGCATCATATAGACTTTTAATCCACGCATTTATCATCCACATTCTAGGAGCGCACCTGACACATAATATACCAAAGGTCCAACTCAAATCAAATACAATAGATGAGAACAGCTTGCAGAAAATTGTATCCAGCAAGCATCTGCACTCAAACATACATAGCCCCAAGGACAGTCAGGCAAACCCTGTCACATACATTAAGTAGCCTTTGCCACTCCAGTTGTAGGATGGTGAAAGCAAGAGCTTTAGAAAAATGATCCTTCTCTCTCCCACAATCAGCAAACCTATCAAAAAGCTGCTGGCTCTGCAAAGCTGACTGCCAAGAGACAGTACCTAGCAAAAGCTTTGCCGTTTTTCCTCAAGCTGCTCTAGTCATCGTTCTGTGAACAATGTGCGCGATGTCTTTTTTTCCATGATGGTGCAAAAGAATCCACACAGAAGTGGGTTTATTCTGTGAAAAGGCAAGTGTACGTATCCTTCGCTAGGGAAGGATGCAAGACCCCAAAAGATGCATCCTCTATACATTTTGCCTGGGATGATCTGTGACAGAAGCAGCTCAGAGCTGCAAATACATAGGTTTTGCACTGTCATCATTCCCAGTGTAGAGGCTCCAGCCACAAATGGAACAAAGCTGTTCCACAAGTGCGGTAAATAGAATCAGAGGTGGGAAATGAAAAAAGAAGATGTGCACAAGCATGATTAACATCTGTATGCTGGAGAGGCAGGGAGGAAGAACAAGATGCTTTGTCTTGGTTAGCTTACATCTCTATCATACAAATACTAAAACAAAACAGAACAATGCTGTATATTTGGGTTTCCACAACTCTAAGGTCTGGGACGTGTCAGGCAATTGCAACATTTCTTGAACTCCTCCAATTATTGAGTATTTTCTTTGTTCTGCTCTCTCTGCTGTAGCTGTTAAGAGAGCTAAGAAGCATTACTTCAAAGCAACCAGAAACATGACAGAACAAGGAAGCAGACAAAAAAAACCCCAAAGGAAAAACCCAAGAAGTTCTATCTTTTCAAGCACACTAGAGGACTGCACTCTGCTTGGACCCAAGTTTCTTCCCTCCCCACCCATACCCTTGTTTTGTTAAAAGCTGCAGTGAGGTTATAGCTCAGTTCTGTCACAGCACTAGAAGCTTCCCATATTAATAGACAATGAAAGAAAGCTGTGTTACAATCCCATTTTACACCATAAAAACATTAGCTATACATACCACTCTTGCTGCAGCTTCCAGCCAGTTGATATTTGGGCTAATAAACAGATAGAGGGAAAATTTCAAATATATTTTTTTTAAAAAGCAGTTGACCTCAAGCCCCCCAAGCATGACTATTTATTGTTATAAAAAGAAATCCCTGAAAAATAAAGAGGATCAAATATTATACAGCAGCCCAAATAGGTTAACCAGACCTGGCAGCTGAAATAGTACGTCAGTATGCTCAAAGTTTGCCTGCCTTGTTATTTTATCCCCTCAAATCCAAACACTACCACCGCATGTCTGTACTTCTCTCATTTCTTCAGTCTTCCTGATTAAAGATAATTAACCTCCAGAACAAGAATGTAAACTTCTAGGAATCCCAGCGCATTAGCTGGGAGAAAAAAAATCCAGAATACATTTCTTTCAAGACTCAGGCACACACAGTGTTATATTCCTCTTCCGTTTCCCTACTTTCAAAGCTCTGGAATTCAGCAGACTGCTTGTTAGTTTTGTGTTTTCTGTTAGGTATAACAGAACTGGCAGAGCAACAGAAGATAATGATGGTATTTTCAGTCCTGCATTCATTGGGACTTCAGAATACCCAACCACTAGATGTTTGGTTCACATGCTCGTTTTGAAGGTAAACAGAAATTCCATTATAGGGATAGGTATATACGAAAGTGCAAGTTTCAAGTGAAAAGTGAAAGAAATAATGGAATATTTGAGCAACCCAGCAATGACAGCCACCCCACTAAGCTTTGCCTGAATAACTTGTATAGGCACTAAAGGACAGAAATTAACTGAACTGCAGCTAGCGTTCATTTTGCATTCTGCTTCAAGTAAGTTTAACAGAAATTATCCCAGAAGGGAGCACTCTTCCCTCAGAAAGGTATGGCCAAGAAATTGCCCAGTGCTGCAGCAGATAATGACAAATGGCCTTACATAATGAAAAAAATACTTTCCACATGCTAGGAGGCTCTTTGTACAACACTAGCTATTATATACAATAGAGCTGTACAGAGAATATCTAATTATGAGCTATACAAATTGTAAACCTAAAATGATAAAAAAAACAACAAGAATACCCTCCCCTCCCCACCCCCCAAGATGGAACAAATCTATTTTGTTGTTGGCATTAAAATCAAGTTGATATTTTTATTGGAATTAAAATCACTTAAAAATGATGCTCAAAGATTGTGCTGCAAACAGCAGCTCAGCTAAATAAAAACCTCTAATTAAGCGTCCTGCAGCTTAACATCCTTCTGGGCTACTTACCTTTGCCTCTGGAGAAGAGGTGTAAAGCACCAGCAAACTAGGTAAAAATTCACTCTACTATTTGAGAGAAATTAGCACTGGGCACCATTTTTTCTCAAAATACGTGTTTTGGGGGTTTTTTTTGGGGGGGGGGAAGGGGAGATGCATCACATTAAAAGGCGTCCTCATGCAGCAACTGAAGAAACACATACAAAGTGCAAGTTATTTAAAATCTAGTTATGTGAGGCTTCTGCTGCCTGAAGCCAGGAAGGGCACAGAAACTTAGAAGAAACCTTCTAAGTAAACAGAAGGAGGAAACAATTGAAAGCAAAGTCAGACTGCTACTTTTAATTATTAAAAAGTTAGTGGTATATCAAGAGTGCGTTTACTAGAATTCATCATTGCCAAGCACCCTCTCTCTTCTGTCAGGTTGTTCAAGATAGCCTCTACAGTAACAACAGCAGACTCAAATGTGCAAATGTTCCGGAGTATAGAGTCCTAGCATCACTGAAGGTGCACTACTTCCTCCTTTATACTCCTACTCTACCCTCAAGAGGTGTTTAAACATAATTTAACATTAGCCATAATTTCCAGAGGTTGGGCAAGGAACAGTGAATCATGTGGGGCTGTGTTACACTCACATAGGGACTTCAGAGAATCCCTCTCGTAGCATTAAAAAAAAATAGCACCTTAAAGAGGTCCACAGCCAGTAACTGATCGTCAGCTATTAGAACTGAATGGTAGAGTAAGGTATGAAGAAGTGGGTAGACACTAAAACATAAAGGGAGATGACTGAGCCATTTTCAGCTGAATGCCTCTCTCAGCTGCTAGAGGCCTGCTCGCGTTCAGCCTCCTTTGCAAAAAAGGCTTCAAGGTCCATTAGCTTCTGAATCAGAAGGGCATCTAACTCTGCACCCTGTAGCGCAGCTTTTTTTGCTCGGGTGAAGCTACCCGCTACTTTGATTTTACTTCGTGCCTTCCTCTTCCGGGGGACAGTGAAGTCCTGAAACTCCAGAATCCGCTTCCTCTTCTGCTGGCTGACAGAGATCAAGGATCCATTTTTCTCCTTGGGCTCTTCAAAGATCGTTTCCAGACTCCTGGTAAAAGCAAAGAATAGAACTCAAGAATACTCAAGAAGCAGTTAACAACCTTGCAGGGACAGGGAGATGGATGGACTTCATAAGCCAGGTAAACACACTTCTAACTTTTACATTTTTACAGCCCTTCTCATGCATGTTTATCTACAGCTCACACTTCCAACAACTGCACGTTTATACTCCTAACTAGATAATTTCTTAGTAGTGTATAGACATTTGGGTTGAATCTCTTTGTGTCCATATTTCAGTACATTTCAATTGTATATATTTAGTATAGAAGAAACATTTGTACCTGGACTTTTCTTTTAAACATTATATATATCAAAAAGTAAAATCAAGTAGCAATCTTGATACTCATGCAATATATACTTCATTGCAGGCAGTTACTTTTGTGATTTTTAGAATATTTAGTTGCCTTTGAATTTATAAAAAGTGGACATAAATAAAAATATTTGGATGGACACTGGAATGAATGAGTAGATGAAAAAAATACACAAACCTAAACAACTGAAAATTCTTAGTTCATGTTCTGCTTCACTGCTTTCTATTCAAATACTAATTCCCTTGAATTAATTTTTCCTACCCCTTTGAACCAGGACAATTTTGTTAAGTTTATCTCCCCCTTAGATTCCAGATACCCTTAGTCTCCTATCTCTGCCTAATTAAGTTACATAGATCTTCAGTTCTCATTAGTAAGCAGAACCAACCTGGCTGGAGGAGGGGACTTATAGTTCTTGTTTGTGTAAATTTCTTCTAAACTAAATTCTTTCTTCTTAAGCCTGAAAAAGTAATGAACAAAGCAGTCAAGAAAGAATAATTTCAAAACCATCTCCCTTCACAAGAAACAGATTTACCAGATACAGTAGTTTGCTGTCTGTCCTTAAACACTAAGTAATTAAGCTTTAATTTAAAAGACAGATTTAGACTCTAATTGGGGCTAGAGAGGAATGAAAAAATTAGGTCATAAGCATCATTCAAAGAGTGCTTGAAAAGGTCCGAGTCAAGACTTGCCATTTCTGCAGAGATCAATGCTCCTCTAGCGTTCTACAATGTTTGAAATAATGATGCTCAAAATTAACATTTCTCTCAAGACTGATTTTAAATGTTAGTTACTGACACTTAAAAATTATCAGGCTGATCTGTGAAGAAATGCATTGCTTTGTCTGAAGCAAGAACTGAAGTGAAAAAAATACCGGATGATTGTCTGCATTGGAAATAAATATCTAGCGTTGTGACTACCCACATTTATACTGAACCAATATTTTCCTAAGATCATATTCCACAAGCAATTAGGGACCATGAAGAACTCCAATATCATTTGCATCAGCAGAACTTCCTGACAGGTCACTTCATCTTTCTGTGCAGTGTAGGAAGACTAAAATTTCAATGTACATTTATCTATTTGAACTCAACAAGAACTGCTCCGTCTTTCTGCTTCTTTAGAAAATCTTTCCACTGCAGCATAATGTTTCATGTTTGCGTAAAAACTAGTCAGTAATTCAAATCCAACAGTCCTTTACCTATCCTTTCTCATTTGAAAAAATTATGTTCAAAGACCTATGTCTTTCTCCAGTCTTTTATACAGTTGTAACAGCTAGGTCTCAATCTTTCCTTATAAAGGAAGCAAGCATGAGGCATTGCTCAACTAGGAGTGTACAAAATAGTGGTTTTAAGAGAATCATTTACTGGAATGATGACATTAGTCCACTGGACACAAACAGCAGAAGCCACTAGCAGTCCATTTAAAAGATACTGCTCACCTTTTTGGTCTGGGTAGTCCCATAGGAGTAAGGTTAGGGTCTGGCTTAGGAACAGTTTTCCTGATTCGGATCTGGGAGACTTTCTTTGGCCTCTTTTCTGGCTCAGTCTTAAAAAATAAAAAATAAAAATAAAAAAAAAGTGAAAGATGCTTAAATGAAGGAAGTAATTACCCTGCTAGTCAGCAGAATTCCATTTTATCTAGAGAATACATTAACCTATACGAGAAACTTTCCCTATTCCTCTGTTTTGCCACCTTCTCTTTCTGCTTCAGCCAAAGAAAGGAGCAGCACTGACTAGGACTAGGATCGTGTTCTCTCTCCTGGTCTTTAACATTAACTAGCTATGTTGCCTCAGCAGCAACTTCAGGTCTTGTCATCTTGGGGAACAAGAGCCTGCGATATCTAAAAGCAGTAACAACTATCGTTCACAATACAATAATCCTGCTGGATAGGTAGTCTGACTGCTTGTTTCCACTATGGTAGACAAAAAACCCTATGAACTCACTTTTTTCAGTTCTGTGTCATCTTGGGATCTAAGACAGGCTGGAACAGAAGCATCAGCTTCATCAAAGGCAGGGACCTGGAGTTCAGGTGATGAAAGCCTGAGTGGAGATGAAGATGATTCTGGAAGCGAGCAAGACTTTGGTAACGAAAGAGGGAACGAAGGTTCCAAACTGTAATAGAGGGAAAAGGGAAAAAACATAGATTCATATCCAATTTATGCTGCAGCAGCACTTCATGCTCTCAGGTAGTGTTCCTAAATTGCAGCATGGGCACAAAAGCAATGCAGTTCATGGAAAAAGTGTTCATTTAGGCAATTTCTAATACCTGCATACAGCCTAGAACTGCTCCAGCCCTCACTGATACAAACTAAATTGCCAGTACATCTGAACTTCTAATTTTAAAACCACTCTTTTCTTTTCCATATAGTTAAACAATTTACAGCTCTATATGGTAATACTGTCAGAAAGCGAGTAGTCCTCCTTTTCTACCAGCAAATTTCTTTGACAGAGCTGTTAATTTAGTACTTTTTGTTCACAGATAAATTTTAAAGATAGCTTTTATATCTGCCATTGCAACACAGAAAAAGAACAGAAAGAAGTGTTAGTGCTTGATGTCCAGCTACTTAAACAGAAATAATAGATATCTACTTAGTTTAATTCACCAAAACTTTATCACAAAACTACTCTTAAGTGAACTGCCAAAAACTGAGAGCCAGAATGACACACACAATGTCTCTTTTTGAGAAAGCTTAAGATCCCACTGCTCAGAATAAATATCAAAGGCCAAGAGACTCACCATATCTCATGACCTGCTGTCTGTAGAGCTTCTGTACTCTGAACAGGTAAGTGCGGTAACATGGCATAGCTGGTTTAAAAGGAGAATGAAGAAAAACAAAACAAACCCAAAAAGACAGAAGTTAGATCTACATCACTAAAAAAAAAAAAAAAAAAAAAAGGAGATATTTCTTAGTATAAACTATATAAACTGTAACCTAAGACAAAGAGATGCTAATATCAGGAATGGGAAGGAGAAGAAAGACTAAAATCATACAAGATCAAGCCACATCTGCCCTTTAGTCTCCTAATAACCAAATTTCACTGACAGCTTGTTAAGGAAATACTTGTACTTTCACTTTAAAATGGTAGTAATAAGAAAAGAAAGTAAGAATCCAGAAAGAGAGGGGGACACTATTAGTCTGAAAATCAGACTTTGTTTGAAATAATTCCAGAGTCTTTATTCAAAAGCCCAATTTTTTAAAGTTAATTTTTAAAGTAACCAAAAACCTTGAAGGATTTAGCTGCTAAACAGAAAGTAGTGCGGTGACAAAAGTAACAAGTATGAGGAAGATTTCCATAGGATTAACTCGACATCATCTCTAACTCCTATAATCTTATTGGAATACTCTTAATTGATGAGAATAACCAAAGGCCTTTCCATAATGGCTGATAATTACCATAATTCTGTGGAATAAAATATAGCATGGCAGCTCGGGGCGGGGGGGGGTCCTTTGGGTCCTTTAAGCTTAAGCTTTTTTTTTTTTTTTTTAAAAACACATGCTACTAGCAGCAAGAAAAATAAGTCAGTTGGGACTGCTTTTAGTACACTGAACAGCAAATCTTGTACTTGCTGCTCTCCTAAACTAACAGCTAAATGTACTTCACTCTTCTAAAGCAAAGAAGTTACAGCCAGATTGGAATGCTACAAAATAAATGAAAACCAACCATGCTGACAGCACAGTTAAGACAGTATATAAGGAGGTCAGAAAGATAAATTTCTCATGTTTGTCCTTTAGCATCAGAATTATAATGTTTCTTTTCTCTCAACGTTCCAGCTACTAGCCCAATAGTACTGGAATCTGCATCAATAGTGCATCAGAGTCCACCTTGCTGGAGGCAGAGCTTTCTGTTTTATGCAGTAAGAAGAAATTACAGGAGGAGAAAACAAAACTACTTTGGAAATGTGAATCAAAAAAAGCATTAATTAGAAAAACAGATTTCACTTCAAGAAGCCTTATTACTGGCAGCAGAAGCAACCGCAGAAGATTTTTAGGCAGAACGACTCCAGTTCTTTGTTTTCCTGTTTATTTCAAACACTAGTGGTGAATTAAGACATTTAAAGAGGACAAGCTGTCTTCCAGAAGAAAACGGCCTGCAGACAAGCCACTTTTTAATAGTGACACTTTTCTGAAAGACAGAGAAAACTGTTTCTGATTTTCAACCATCTTAAAACAGGCAAAGATTTTTATCATACTAGAAGGAAGATGCTTATGTACTGCACCAAACATATTTCTTATATTCTTATATTTCTACATCAAACATTTCTTTCATAAAAGTTTTTTTTTTTCTGAGTACATATAAATTTAAAAGAGATTTACTAAATTATCCTTCTGTTGCCATTCCTGGACTACACCTTTAGAAAAAGCAGAATTATTAGTTGATGAAACAGGCTATGAAATTTCAACAGAATGGAATCCACAATGGTGTTACATACTTAAAAGGTTAGGTCTTTTGTTTAGCATTTTTTTAAATAACTGAATCCTTCAATATTAATTTTGTTTGGTTATTTTAGGAATAGAATTTACGTGCTGCTTTAAACTTCTGCCAACAGTATTCTCGTCAACTGTCACTGCATGCTGCAGTAGCTTCACTTTAAAGAAAATTCTTCTGCCCCACTCAGAATTAAGTCTACATCAACTATATGTGTGTATATTTATTTATTTTAAGAAGGGTATTTATTTTAAAGGGTATTTGAGAAAAAAGCAACAGAGTTTTAGGCTATGTTAACTTTGGGTATTTTTCACTAGAAGCGATGAGGCTTGACTTGGCTTCTCTCCCTCTTGGAAAAAGATTATTCATAGCAAAACATTTGGTTTTCAAATTACCCTTTAGGTCAAGGGATTAAATCCTCTTATACTTGAGCTAACTGGATATGCTGTGACAAGCTGCACAGGAGTCTCTAGACTTAAGTTTGGGAGGAAATGCCAGCATAAGACAGCTCCAGTCCAAGGATAACATGCCTCAACAATTCAAAATAATGTATGTACCCCATACATAGAAGTAAGTTTTAAAAGGTAAGGGTTTTGTTTTTATTTTAAAGAATGGCAGCAATACCTTATTTTAAACCTAATGCTCAAGCTGTAGTCTACTAGTATGATTACTTCCAGAGTACTAATCTGTACACCACAAAGTTCAGCTTGAAATATCGTCTCACATACAGCAGAAAAGAATGCAGGTCCAACAGAGTACACTGCAAAGCTGTCTCCATGGACCATTATTCAACTTCATTCTTTCAGTGCAAAGAACTTCCAGAATGGAGTAGTTCTTTCATAAGCCTTCAGACGACAATAGAATTTAAATTAGCAGGCTAATTACTTAAATTAGTAGCTAAATTCTCCATTCCCACAAAGCAAAACAGCATTATTTATCTGGCAAGTTTTCTGCTTATACATATGTCAAACTAGGACATAGATAAGCCAATTCAGCAATCCTCTAGAGATCACAATATTAGATAAAAGAGTTAATCAAATGGACTTTTCTATGGTACTCATGAGCTTATCCTCTGTTCAGGAATGTCAAGACTGCAAAGTTGGGCACTGAACTGCCCCACATCACAGGTAGTAGAACTGAGGCACAGGGGGCAAAATCTTTCTCAAGGGCATGCAAAAATTCTTTAACAGAGCTAAGAACCTCTTCTCTCATTCTGTTTCTTTGCAAAAAGATCTTCCTCTCAAACACAGATAGCAAAGATAAATTAAATATGCAAAGTAGACTTCACTCCTCTTCCCACTGGTATCGAGAATGACAGACACACCAAAATTCATTACCAACCTGAAATGGAGCTACGTTTACTTGTGCCAACAACGTATCTGACAAACGCGATCAAATGGCACAACACATATAAAGAGGTTACAATTAGCACAGAACAGTCATAGAACACAATTCAAAATTTAACGATGTCCCCCCAATTAGGATTCTTCCTAAATTGATATCGAGCATTTTACAGTAGTTCAAGTGGCACTTGTGGCTCAGACCTCTGAAAAAAAACTTTCCTACCTCAGAAATCCAGTTGTTCTGCAGTCACTCTGAATAGACCTAAAGAAGTAGCTCACCTTTCTGCATTATATATTCTGATGCATGGTGTGTATATTTTGCAACGGAGAAGAAAATAGAGTTAGCAATTCTGCCAAAAGAGGATAGTATTAAAGAAGCCAATGCAAATCTATTTAAATTCAGCTAACAGACTGTTCCATAGGGAGGAATCTTCCATGGTGAGCCATTTTTGGAGCAGAGTGCGCAGATTTGGAACAGGGAAAACTGACCCTCCAGTGCAAACTCCAATTACCCTCTCCCTCCCAAAAAGGAGCAAGTATGTACTGTATATATACACATATATATGAGAACATATATATATATATATATATATATATTTTCTCAGAAAGAAGTTGATGGGTTTTACCTGTTCTCGATGCCCACACTTGGTTGCCACTTGCAGTGATTGGAATGGAGAAGAGTTATTTCGGAGGGACAGGCAGAAGGACCATGCTGACTCCACATGGATAGTGCCCTGCCCAGTGAGTATGGCAATGAGGAGAAGAGGTCATCTGATACAGAAGTTGCACACCTTAGCCCTTTCAAACCCTGTGTGAATTGTGACATAAATAGTCTCTGGATGGTAGGAATACGACTGGTTAAGTTTCTTCTTCTTGTCCAAATCCTGTAACATCCAGGGGAAGAAAGTGCTAACACTGTGTGAAGGCCAAGCATAGAGTAACTTTCTCTTCTTTCAGCTATGGCATTTCTTCCATGGTCAGGATGACGGGCAGCCGCCCCTGGAGTCATTAAAGAGCAAGAAGAATGCAGCTCATTATCTACACTGGAATCTTCCTTGGAAGCTGTTGTACCTGAACAGCTCTGAGATAGGAGAAAAGAGAAGGTCCACTCTGAAGGCGGTTCTGGCATTTCTCCCCAAACCCGTCTGTGATGTACAGAGCACTGGGACGTAATCCCTGTGAGCTCTGTCATAGAACTGGAGTCCAATTTTATTTGAAAAGAAATTGGGAACACGGGGGTATCCAAGAGTGAGGACGGAGTCTTGTGGCTCAAGTCTAAAACAGGTATTTTGGTAGATTCTACAGGATAAAGTGCCAAGGGCTGAAAGCTGAACATCTTGGTGCACCAGCTGTCAGCCCAGTGGGAGTGTAAGTTCCTGTTAATGCAGGAAAAAGCTTCCAATAGATTTTTAGCTCTACGTTGGCTGCACCTCTCAGCCACTGGAAGAATTTCAGAAGAATACGGCAGAGACTTTAATTTATGGATGCTTTTGGCGGGTGCCAGTAGCGTATTGGCCATTGCAGACAGCTTGCTTAACAGTGCTGGTTCTTTGGTACGTTTTCTAAATTTCAAGCTGTTCAACAAACTGCACCTCTTGGCCCTCTGCCTTGGCATATGCACCAATCTCTTGGCTATTTCCTTTTCCATTATTGGTGGTTTATATGCAAAGTACAAAGAATTGAGGGGCACGTTTTCCTGCTTACAGAATGTTTCTGAGGAAGTCTTCAAAGTTGAACTTCTAATTTTGTTGCTTTTTCTAACACTTTTTGGTTGATCTGATGTGGGAACTTTTTTGCATGCCCTTCCAGGCTGTTTTTTTAATGGAGGAAGTCCTCTTAGTTTATTTGTCATTCCAAAGGCACCATGGATTTCATCATATGCAGTCTGTGGTTGTAGATGGTAAGCACAAATTAAAGGAGTACCATCCTCTGACAGTTTAATGCAGGACTCTAAATTAAGGCTCAGGTTTTCTGTTTCTGAATCCCGAGTCTTCAAAAACTGTGAACTAATAACATCTGTGGTAATCTTTGGCCTTTTGACTTCTTGTAAAGTGCTACATAGTTTATTTTTACTGTTTCTAACAGCAAAAACCTTCTCTGAAGGACCTTCAAACTTTGCATTTCTTGAAGTCACCAACTCATTTGAAGAGCTGCACAGAAGTTGCAATTTGTACAACGTGCTTGGTTGCAGTGCAGTTTTTGCTTTTGCTTGGTAATTTGACTTCTGTTCTTGCTGTGCCTTGTCTGACAGATGTACTTCCATCTCCTCATACATTTTCTTTCGTTTCAGTGCCTGACATTTCTTTATTTGATCAGTTTTCTCTGAATCTAAAGCTTCATTATCTTTGCAAATTGAATGAGTTGGTGTAGTGTCTTGGCCTTCTCTGATCTCCTTTATATTATCTTTGCTCCGTGCATTTAAGTTGTAAGGCACACATACTTCCCTGCAAACAACACAATTTGGGGACAATTCTTTGCAACTACTTGACAGTATACTCCTATATGGATAAAATGCAGGTATTGCATTATACTGGATTTCTGATGAAGTTTTTGTGTCAGATAAAACTTCAGCTTGACAACCATCTATAGTTTCTAAAAGTAGATTGATACCTGCTGAGTTTGTGGGCTTTGTAACATTTTTTCTTTTTTTTGGAAGATTATTTAAGTTAGATCCTGACATTTCTTCTAAAACCTTTTCATAATTCTCAGCGCTGAGAGGGTCTGTTTTGCTACCAGACTGTTTTGAATCTTCTAATAAGAACTGTAGAGAATCTCCTCCATCAAGAGTAGGATATAGTGGCAACCTTTTTCCAGGGGCTACTTCTCTCTCCATCTTGTCTTCTACACAAGCATTCTTAAACTTCTCTCCATAGTCAGTATTTTCTGGTAATGTCACATCCATGTCTTTTAGAGTTAGCTCACTATCCCCCTCATCTGTAGGCCCTTCTTTGCTGTGTGCACAAACTCTGGAGCTTTTTACATCTTTCAGAAAGCTAGTGGCTTTTCCATTCTCTGAAGAGGGACTCTCAGTGTTGCTGGCTTTTCTCTTAACAGACGTTGTTATAGAAAGAGGTTTTGTCACTGAAGAATCTTTTCTAAAAACGTACGCGGAACGTACGTCATGCTCGTCTATTTGTGTATACTCAGATAACATATACAACTTTTCTTTCTGAGGCAGAGAGACTCCCAAGTTCACAGCTGCCTGCGTTTCCAACTCCACATGAGTCTCAGTAAAAGCTTCTTGGATCTCAAACTTCCTGGGCTGGGGTGGATGTATATCCTTTTGAACATCAGTTTCTTTATCAGGCTCAAACATTAACTGCAGGTGAGAGTTACCTAACATGGGTTTTATTCTAAGACTTGTTTTGTTTTCCATCTCTGAAAACAAATTCTTACTTTCTGGCTCATCTGACAGACTCCCATGGATCAATGTGGAGTTGGGCAAAGATGGGGCAATAGCTGCATTTTCTTGGTCCCCCACCAAACACTCCATCTTTGACAAAGTTTTCTGCGCTGTGTTTTCTGCAAATACTAGCAGCTCTCCATTCTCCTTTGCACAACTGATAGAGCAAGTGTGTTGTGAGCAATGTTTTTTGCTATCAGAAAAGCCTTCTGCAGAAGTTCCTTTATCTTCTCTTCCATATTCTTTCTTGGGTTCTTTTAATTCTATTGTTTCTTCCTCAGTTAGATCACTGACAAAGTGCACGTATCCTGAAAGGTCAGCATTTCCCACACGATTTAAAGAATCAAAATCCACTGTGTTATCCTTTACGGTTCCTTGAACACTGTCTTCTCTTACACATTTATGAACTAATGGAGCCAGGCTGCCACCTTTTTTTAATAGTATCTCTTCACCTTGGTTAGAGCCAATCGATATTTTAGTTTCCTCTGTAGAAGTACGTACAGTTTGTAAACCAGTGTTTGACTGTTTTTTTAAGCTTTGTAAGGGCTGAGTCTCAAAAATTTCATCTGCCAGCTCAACTTTATTTTGCTTGCTGCCTGGAACCAGTCCAACTAACTTACTTTGACATGCAAGAAACTGATTTTCAGTTGGATAAATGGTCTTTTCTGGTTGACCAGCATGTGGTCTTTGGATATTCAAGTTGTCAAATAACTGACTTGAATCACAGATTGAGGCACTGTACTCAGAGAGATTAGCTGTGAGTGATGACTCTTTCTCCTCATACGTGTCTAGTTCTCTCTTCTTCAGGCCTGATGGAGAGTTGCAAAATCCAAAATTATGAACACATTGGTTTTTGATCGAATATCTGACTAACAGCTGTTCACTAGACTCATTTCTCTGATTGCTTTCAGAGAAAGCATCTGGAAAATCCACAGTTCTTATTTTATCAAATTTATCTATCTGGAGAGCATATGTGCTAATTTGTTCTTGTGCCTCATCTCTGTCACAAATAATTTCATTGCCATCTGTTACTTTATCAAGATCAAACTGTTTCAGACTTTCAAAATCTGTATTTTTATTTGATATCTCATCTCTTAACAAGGTAGTAGTGGTCTTCTCTGCAGTAGAAGCTGAGCAAAACACGTTTTTTGCTATGGAAGTATCATTTATGACCTGCAGAGCTACACTTCCATTACCCCAATCACCTTCAGAAGGAACAGATCTACCTGCTGAAGGGAAGTGTTTTTCAGCAAAGATGATTGCTCTTTTACTATTATATCCAGCTGAATCTTCTCCTTCCAAATTATCACTTTCTCCAGTCTTCATTTCAACCTCACCCTTAAACGAATGACTGTTTGGGAGATCATCATCTACACGTGTATTCTCTGATAAAATACAGGAAGTACTGGCAGCTGTACACTGGTCTTTTATACTCTGATCATTACAATTCCATGTGTCACTCTCTTCATTTTCTGAATCAGTGACTGCGCTGTCTATATTCCCCTGTAAAGACGTTGTGTTCTTTTGGGAAACTTTGCTTGTCCTACTAGGGGTATCAGAAGTCCTAAGATTTACTGAAGGCTTGAATTTGTCTTTTGGAAGCACAAGTTCAGTGACTTGTTCCTCCGCTGCTCCAGAAGCACCAACTGATTCTTTTCCAGATAGATTATCCTGAGCCTTGTCTCTGCTTGAAACTTCATTAGCAGTACAAGGAGTAAGTTCATTATCATGAAGTACTCTTGATTTTTGTGCAACGGGAGGTAGTTTTATATTTAGTGCATAAACCAAATTAGTTTCTCTGCCAATGGATAAACTGTCATTACTATTGGCTTCTGTAGCTTCAACTAAATTGCCAGCCAACTCTTCTGATGTTCTATTACTCCCAGATTCCTTTTCAAGCAGCTGTAACACAGGTGAACCTTTCTCTAACTTGGTACTGAGTTCCAGACAGCCATGGTTACTGGGAGAAGTAGTGTTTTTATTGCAGGTATTATAAAAGCATACATATGTCTGCTCAGTTTCAGGGGGAACAATGTTTTCTGTTTCTATCAATAGACTATTTTCTGCAGTATCATCCTTGCGCAGATCACTGACAGCTAACTGCCATTGGTCCTTTTTCCACTTACCAACTTCTGATGGGACCCTTTTTAATTTTTCTTTTGAGAAGTCCTCAGGAGATGAAGCAACAGAACTAAAAACTGAAGAATTACAATGCTCAGAATTAACGTTTTCTTGAGCTTCAGGCCAGCTGTCTTCAATGTTATCTCTCATAGCAATTTTTCTCTGGGTTTCAGTAGCGTCTTCAAATTCAGAGCTGTATGAATTATCTACATTATCATTTACTTCTCTATGATCAGATTTATCCCTAGATAATTCTTCACTCCTTGACACTGAGAGCTGTTCTACCAGTATGCATTTGGAGGTCCGGTTCTCTAGAAACCCAGTTCCATGATCATGACAACTTTGACTTTCCATGTTTTCAGGAAGATGCTCTTCCTGGCTTTCACTGTTAATTCCACAGACTGCAGTACTGCTGCTTTCTAGCGGCGTATTTCTGAAGTCCAGGTAACGGGTGCCTTTCAGAGCAGAACATGAAACTTCAGAATTTTCTGTGGAGAGTGTGCCAGAACTCTGTATTGATGACAGCCTGTCAGGTTCATTATTAGGTACAGGAACAGTACTGAAGTCATGAGCACTGTTCTCTTCGTCCTGCTGATAGGTCTGGCAAATAGCAAGTGATGTATTGAATTCATCAACAGGATTCTCTCTGGGTAGCTTTTCTTCTCTAGTCTCCAAAATAGATACAACGTTACCTCCTGTTGTCAACGGCATGAGAGTACGGGCTTTTGACTCATCATATTCATTTATTTCCTGTGAATGTTCAGTGGCCGATTCAACGTTCCTGATTGTATAAGGCTCTGAAAAAACTAACATGCTGGTTTGTGAAACCTCATCACTGGCCATGACTGTGCCTACATCTGGGCACTCATCGCTCTCAGGTGGAAGATCATTACTCACTCTGTCATTCCTGTATCCTGCTTTACTAAATATCCTAGTCCCATCAGCCTTCATACCTTGTGCTTCTTCAGCAGGCTTTGGCAGAGTTTCAGCTGTCACCTGAACATTTGCTGGGTTTTCTTCTGCACACAAAAAGTAAAGAAAGTCAGTACCATACTCTAAATTCAGAACACATTCAGCTTACTACATTCCTTTTAGCACTATATAGAACATTGTGTATAGAAAAGTTTTGATAATCAACACTAAATGAGAGTTGTTGCTAGCAACTATGCCACAATTTCAAAAAAACCCCAACCAACTGAACACTCTTCCCTCCTCCCAACACCCTCCTCCCCCCCAAAACCAAACCCATAAACAAACTACCAAAACCTTATGGTAACAAATGCAATACTTTTCAATACAGACATTCCTCATGATCACATCCCATACCCTGTATTTTTCAGATTCCTGTAATATTGGGCAAGGTGCAATACAGGTCCTGTGGCTCACTACATTTAGAGTCCTGTCTAAGATCATTATGCTTAGTTGGAACATCAAAGCTCAATGTAACTGGGTACTTTGAGTTATCTGTTCTATCCTAGAAATATAGCTGTGAATTGAGCGGCCATTTCTCTCTCTTCTTCCTTGAGCGCACTCCAGTCAATAACTGATCCACAGGAAGACAATGAAGATCTCACCCTGTCCAAGCCATTATGGATATTACTAAACACCTCTGTAAAATCATGAAGAAGCTACTAAGTAAAAAATGACAGAACATTAAATAGAAGAGTTAGAGTAGAATGTCTTCATCGTCAAAACTTTAGTCATCGAGACTATAGAAGATCTTTTCTGTATTTTCAGCTAAGGATCAAGACCAGATGGCATGCCTTTAAGCAAGTAAGTACAAGCTTGATGTACTGTGGAAAGCTGAGGTTTTTTTCTGGTTTTGTTTTATGGTTCATTTCAGTAAACAGCAGTAAATACATATATCATGTGCCACTGGAATCATCATATGAGTACACTGATCAAATATTTTCAAAACGCTACCTTTGTTGAATAAGAAGCTTAGTAAGGTCTAACATGAGCTAAAAATGTAAACTAATCTAATATACCAAGCTATGAGAACTCGCCATCTTAATTTGCAAAAACTAAGCAATAAGAAGGTAAAATACAGTTGATAATTGATCCCAGTTAAAAAAAAAAAAAGTCAGTACATCATTTGCTCACTGTGCAGTAGAGCATGAGACAGAAGGAAAATAATCACTAGATGCAGATAAAGTGACCAACGCATTTGGAGCTAGAAGATCACAGATCATAACGAAATTAAGAACTAGTATTGCTGCCCTCTCCCTTTGAATGCTGCGTTTTCATTTTCTAAAACATTAGAAAATACACGAGTCCTACTTTTTCACACTTTATGATAAATGCTCTCACATAATCCAATTTTGAAAGATGAGGAAGCATAAAACATCTGCTATCAACAACAAGAACTTCTGCCCAGGGGTAAACAAGTCTTCCAGTGAAACAACTAAAACACATTTTGTTCGCAAAAGGTCTTTGGGAAAGTACACATACTGTCATGAAAAAGCAGAAAATTAACTTTTCATGTAGTTCTAACTATGCAGGACAATTGTTTCTACTGTAAAACAAAGAAAATGAGCTATCCAACAATCACTCATTAATTTTGACCAATGAAAGGGGATCTGGGAGAGAACCAGGGAGTAGATACAGATATACAACTAAAATGTGCACCTTTGTTCTTCAGAGATCCTGCTATTTCAGTGCAATAGATGCTTGAAAACTTCACCCCATGCTGACTTAAGTGAAGCTCCTCCTGAAACAAGACAGAAACACCAGTGAAGACGGATCAATTTTTCTGAAACTTTTCGCATGTTTCAGGAACTCTGCCTGCTCAAGTAGGTTAGTTCTGAACACCTATCAAGAAACCTCAGAACATACCAGCCCTTGGAGGGAGGGGGAAAAAGAACCAATTTGTATAAATAAGCCTGTTTTTAAGATTGATAATACAGGCAGCCTGGTCTTGAAAACAGTTCAAACAGGACATTCTCTTTTCTTTCTGATCCTATCAATCACTAGCATCTCACCATGAGACAGGGATGCATCCAGAAAAGATCTGTATTTAGTGGCAGTGAAGTCTTGCCATGCAAGCAGCTAAGATTTACGTGGATTAAACAGAAAGCGCCCCAAATTTGAAACAGAAAAGTATTCCAGCCTACAAGTCTACCTCACCTCCCAAATCCTGTATATCTATCTCCTCAATTAAACCTCTCATGCAGAGGAAATAAAAAAGCAAAAGCCTACCTCCCTTACCGCATTTCCCATTCTGCCGTTTGAGTTTACACTGCTATTAATATAACTTCTAAGTTTTCTGGTTAGTTGGGCTACAGGAATGATACCTGAATTCTTATTATATTTCTAGAAGTGTTGAAGATGAATTAGAAGACAAGTTCAAGAAAAGGTATGTTATCAATGTATTTTCCTTAAATACACCTTTGGATTGTGTAGAATTGTGAACCTTTGAATAGCAACTGATTTCTCCTCTTACGTGGACAGAGAGATCAGGGATGAAACTGAAAAGTCACCTCCCAGACAGAGTATTTTCAAATTCATTCACTGCAAAGACTTCTTACTCATTCAGAAAGGAAGGGTTACAGAATGGCCTAGATACTTATTCTTCATATGTGTATTTAAAAGTTTTTACAGTTGTTAAAGATCCAGCGCTTACCGAATGGTTAACCCAGACTGACTGTGGTATTTGAGTTGGAAGTCTAGGTCACTCAGTCAAACAAAATTGTTGAGGTAGGGGTGGTGACAAAGTTGGAATAAGGGATCTTATCAGATACTAAAACCTCTGATGAAAAGCATGCTCTTCACAATTTTTATTAGAACTTGCCTTTTACCATCTTTCCCTTGGCCTGTAAGAACCAGGAAGAGGTGACCTTGGTCTGCTCAGCAAAAAACTCCAAACTTCCTGCACATTTGAAATATGTGAATGCTCATCTTGGAATACTGAACAACTATGGAAAATTTAATGAATTCTGTTCTCACAGATTTACTAGTAAATCAAATAGGTAACAAATTCCAGAGTTACAAAGGCAAACTATTTTAGCTCTTACCTCCAGTAATAACTGTAAAATATGCATCTTATCCAGATATTACCTAGCTGATGTATGTTTGGTCACAACACTTTTTTCTCTCCCATCTCCTTTTTGTGACAAATCTTTACAAACTAAACAGAACTGATCAAAGAGTCACTAAAATTTCATATACTGCTTTCCCTGCAAAGTAATCATACATACAGTTCTGTAACTTTTTGAGGCACTCATAAGTGAAATATTTTCTGATACCAGTAATCAAAACAACAACATTAAGGGAGACAAGGAAAATTTGTATTTTATCTAAGAAGTGTAAAGAAATGCCGCCTGCTGTACAAAATGCAAACCAACTGTTTACCCTATAAATTTGACCTTCAACCAAGCTTCCCCTGCACTTATTTCTTAGTGTTTCAAATTTTTTTGTTGCTCTAAAATGTGCAATTTTTAATAGAAAGTTTTGAGATTTTTCAGTTTTTAATAGACTATTCTTTGGCACATTTTTCCAATATAATATTAGTATACTATTAATACAGCCAATCTACCTTTCCTCATATTTAACAAGTCTTTGCCAGAAATAACATTTTTATCATCAGTGTTTGCTAGAGGAAAAAGAAAACGACCATGTGAGCCTTATTATTTTGAGCCTTATTATTTTGAAAAAGGAAACCGACACCAATCTCCTGTCTAATTATAAATGAAAAATCTAAGCATGAAGAAGAATCTGTACTTTTAGATAAAAAGAAACCCTGAAACCCTAAATTGGAGCCCTTGTAGCACTGTAATACTACTACCAGACTAAAATAATAGTTATTTAATGATTCGTGCCTTTACTGGGGATGATATCTGTAGATTATGCTGTACCCATAGGAGATGCAAATTGGGCAAGGCAAGCTTTTTTAGATGTTTCTTTTCTCTACCTTTTTGGTCACCTGCCTCAGTTTTTCTTTGTATTGTAACATCCTGCCCAATACTGTTCCAATGGTATTTACAAAAGTGAAAAGAAAAGCCTGATGTTTTAAAATACTGTTGCTCTACCCAGTGATAAGTGAAAGTGATAGCTTTCACCGAACCCATGAAAATCAAAAGAATGACACATACGCCAGAAGACACAAATAAGAAACAGGAAACCACATGGGCAAAATCTTCTCCCTAGTCACTGTAACCCTAAGTTCAAAATATCATGCAGGGATCCATTTTTCTATTCTCTTACTTGTTTTGACCACCAACTTTCCTCAGGAGTTAAAGCACAGCATTCAGCAAGATACTCCTCAGCATCTTGTCCCTCTTTATCTTCTTTCTGGTATCCACCAGTAGAAGAGTCTAGTCTCCTAGAGTTTCTTTTTTTGTTTTCTTCATCCTCTTCAAGGTCTCCCGATTTTAGTAATTCTTCAGTAAGGGATTCTGCTAGCCCATGAGAAATCCCCTTGGGCATATCACTCAAATTCTCTGTTTTCTGAGACAAGTTTTCTACTCCAGAAGTCCTATGATGCTCAGATGGCAAACTGTCCCTGCATGCTAGCACAGCTGTTGGCACATCAGACTTTGCATCTAATCCAACATTAGGCTCCGATACAGCCATAAGTTCAGTGGAGATGCTGACTGGCAGTCCAGTGTACAATTCCTCTACTACAGCAGACATGGAAGAATCAAGGAGGGATTCCACCCCAGATGATAGCATCAGGGCAGTTGAAGACCTGTTATCCGAAGCTTTTCACAGTTTATCCTAAAAATAAACGCAATGTTAAATCAACATACATGGGAGTAATCTCTGCCTTAGAAGAAAAGCTTCATTCTTCCAGATGCAAACATGTGTGTTCAAGAAGGGTTTTTGCAAATACATTTGTAAGGGGAGCCGAAAAGCACTTGAGTATTTAAGCAAATATTTCAAGAACAAGAGAAGAGAGCGTGGACAAACATAGTCCTAAATCTTATTTTCACATTCAAACGTCTCCCAACAGATACAGCCTTATCTTATGGAGAAAACAGGCAACAGAGCGAATCTCTAGGGCGTACGTTAGACAACCTGTTCCCTAGCTACAGCATCTTTTATTTTCCTGTGATTTTCTTAAGCTTCTGATCTTTAAGAAGCTTTTCTTCCTACCTTTCCTAACTATAAGAAAACGCCTTATAAGACAAATCATCATACGCTGTGCCTTGTAGTTTGGCTCACGTAAACAAGGATGAAGGACGAGATCACGTTATTACTGATTTTCCACGCAACATAAGCATTGCTATCATCTTCAGCTCAGGTAAGCTCTTCAGTAGGTACCCTCCTCTTGTGACAGTGACAGTACAGACCACTGTGACCACAACACCGTGGAGGTGGCTTCGAACTCCAACCTGACGCAAACGCTGCGAGCGCGACCAACAATTCCTAAAGCCTTGCTTCAAAACACTGCTCTGAAAACACCGCGATACCAGTACTTTCGAAGTTTACAAACCTCTAACGGAGATACATGCGTAAGCGCTTTCAGAAGCATCGGTTACTCGGGCAAAACACGGTTTATAAAGACACAGGCTTATCAGCCAAGGGTTGCTCTCCCTGCTCTGCCCCCCAAAGCAGCCGGGGAGCGGGTTGGCGGGCGCTGGCCAGGCGCTACCGCCCTACAGGCGAGACACACACCCCTAGCAACCCGCCACCTCTCCCCCAACGCT